GACAACGTTCGTCTGTCAACGCAACGTGCCTAATGCTTTTTCATTACATTTCACTCGTGATTTCCACAATGCATCGGTCTGTTCGCGAATGACGACAAAACGTTTTCCGTTTTGGTTCACGACAGATTCGGCTGGTCGGTACCCGCGGCTCCGTTGATTTTGGAGAGGGAATTGTTTGCCGGCTTAAGCTCATTGTTTGTGGTCCGGAACACCTGCCTTTGTTTTAAACACAAACAAACGATATTTAACGAGGTTTCCTATGCTCGCGGGGGTTCAAAGTGACGTAAGGTACTTCTGCGAATTTCCCTCTTCACCAGTCTCGCGTTGTTCCTATTTCAACATTCTATATTTTCCATATTTTTGTTTATTGTATTTCGGTATTTCAACATTCTATACTTTCCACGTTTTTGTCTTCTGTATTTTGTTATTCCTAGTTTTTATACCACGCTATTTTTATTGTCTATATTTCTTTAGATATAAGACTATATCAGCCACGAATAACACCTTGGAACAAATTTTGACCTATGTTAGTTTTTGCAATAGCCACTATTTAATTCTTATAGAGTTCCTTACCCTAAATACGAATCCGAAAACCAAATTGCTGGGTCAGGTCCAGTTTTCGAAAAAACTGGGATTTTGTAAAAATGGTCGAATTTTTCAGAAAACCAAGTGTTACGTGAAAACTAAAAACGATAGGCAGTTAAAATTTGTCGCAAGAAATAAAGGAGACTTGCCCGATCATGTAACTATAAAAATTTTGAAATTTACATATCATTAAATGTTTGTAAACGGTGATCAAAGTTTAAAAAAAGGTAGATGCGCGTACTTTGTATGCACTTCTGTTACATTTCTACGAAAAGTGGGTTAACTAGCACGAATTTGCTGTGCACCATTGGATTCTGCAGACATTTCTGAAGAGGAACCTCCCCGTGCGAACCGTGACATCGGTTTTTCTTTGGAACAGGGTAAGAAAATGTCCGCGAACGGAACTTTCGCGCCACACGGCCATAGCTCGCCGGCCACAGCTATGCAGGGCTGTGACTACGCGCTGTATAGACCTGGACCCCGCTCACTTCTTATATGTATATATGGACCGTTTATCTTGAAAGCCTGACAAACTTTTTGAAATTTGTATTCCATTAATTATAAGAAGATTGTTTAAAAAATGTTAGATCGTCGACTAGACAAACCAGTTACACAGGAGGATTTACATGAAAGGTTTCCTATTTTTACGAATTCTTTCGTTCTTTCGTTTTGTGTAAGTAAAAAGAACACGTGAAACCGTGGATTATCTCTGCTCACTTTCCTTTATTTTTTGGAGACGCGGATACAAGAGTTAATAGAACCCGACATATTTTTGGAAGATTCGAAATTCCGTGGAATGTGAAGCATCTTTACGAAACGATAAATCTTGAGTTCGATTCATCCTATTTCTTGTCGGTGTTCCAGACATTTTCTGAAAGAAAAAAACGCTGTAACAAAATCCTGACAGCTATAAATAAAATATCTTGTTCGCCGGTGTTACGTAATTATTGCAGCGCAACTGAAATTACGTCACGGATAGATTCGTTCGTTCCTGTCGCCATTCAAGGCGAGTCTGGTGCAATTCGCGTTTTATTGAGCTGTGTATATACATGTTGCGCGACATTTTATTTCAATCGGAGAAAGTCATTTCTCATTACGCAAATCGCAATCGTCTGCGGTGCAAATATAAAAAAGTTCGAAACAGATCTCTACATTAGCTGCAACTGGTACCCGGTTCGCTTATCACACACTGCCTTATCGGTTGAATATTTAACTTGTGTTAATAAGCAAGAGAGCTGTAGCAAATATAAATTCTTTGAAAGCCGGAGAACGCTTATAAAAGATGATATTAAATTGAAATTAAATTATATAATATTGATTATTTTATAAATATTATTTTATAAATGAATTTAAAATTTATAAATGAATATGAGAGAAACAATTTTGCTTAATTGTACAAAGAAGAAACGTATAAACTGTGTATGCAAAAAGAATAAAAAAAATGGCACATTAGTACGATTCGCGTTTTTCAAAATTTCGCGCGTTGCGTGAAAGAAATTCCAGGTGTTTCGTAATGAACGTTTTATTCAATTACAATAATAATCGTCATCATCGTAATCGACGGTAATAATTATAATGTGTAACGATCCGCAACAAACAGAAACGCAACTGCCCGATGACAATAATTACACTTATCGCTTCCAATGACAATAATAATGACGATAACAAGGATAAACAACAACAATCGAACGGACAATTAAAGCATACGCGATTAACAGTAAATTGAAACAACGCGATCGTGTTCGGTTTGCACATTGAATTCGATGAATCTCTGTCTCCTTGCGTGTAGTAATATGCGGATTTTTTTTTTAATGTCGTGTATGTGTGCACAGGACACGGAGAGAACAGGCGTTACCAGTTTATCGGCGCATCCAAATTGCCCGATTTGCATTGAAACCAAACTGCACAGTTGATTTCCACAATTACGATAAACATATCTTCCAGGAGATTTAAGTGTATCGCAGTCCATATCGCAGAACAAATACGAACGCAATAATTAACGTTCAAAATAATCTAACGGAAGATTCATTTGCCATGAATTAATACTGTAACAGCTAGTTCTGCTTCTTGTACTATTATTAAACAAGTACAGGAATTCTTTCGAAAAATTGTTAAACAAATTAATTTAATAACTTAAGCATAACTAAATCGTGGTATTAACAAACGCATTCTCACTATTTGTGATAGAAAAATACAGAATAGTCAATTCGACTGCTAGGTGTGTAGTTTTAGTGTTAAAATGCCAAAAAGAAGAAAAATTAGAATGGCCAACAAAGTCGCGCAGCAAGTTTCCTCCGCACCCTGTGCCGCGTTTCGTGTACAATGTGTCGTGTGCCGTTCGTGTAACAATCTCATCCCCACTATCATATATTCGTTTTCATTCCCTAAAATATTGAGCGTGTCGGTTCACGGGCCGTTTAATTAATGCGTGAACGACTCGCCGTTTCCACTTCACGGATCGTGACCGTGTTGTTATCACTCAGAACGTACGTTCGCGCGTTCATGTAAAGCGACCATAACACTAGAACTACCAGATGGGTCAATTGTTCACCGATGCTCTTTCCCGAAATTTTTAAATACACTCGATGCAACTGTGTGCAGGCCGGTGTGCATTCAAAAGTATAAATCCATCGAAACTTTAATGAACGCTTCTTTTCTGTCAGCTTCTCTTGTGACACGCGCAAACTGCATAGACAGCTGACAAGATCAATTTACTTACAATTGTAGTAAAATAGAATGGAGCAAAATAAAATAAAATCTTAGTCTTCGTCAGAAAAAAGATATCGCAAGTTTCTGCGTAGTGTCTGTACACCTTAACACGTTGACTACCACGGTAGTCACCAATGAGCTTCCAAATTACTTGAAAACAGTTATAACTTGTAAGGTAACCGATGTGGAATAAAAATCTTCGCCAGTCAAATAATAAATGTCCAACGATTTCAATAAAATCATACCAAATAATTAATAATAATTGTAATTATTGCCACGAGAAAATAAACGACAAGTAAACGCTGATGTTCTCCGTGTTGGTAAACGTGTTAAGGGAACGCACGTTAAGCGATCCGACTTCTCGGTAATTCTAATGTTAATCGATTGCGCGCGCGCGCGCGTGCGTTCTGCGTGTCTGTGTGTGATTCAGGTGTGTCACTAAAGGTGTACGAAATCGGCTGCAAAAGGATCCTATGTATGAAATGCGTATGAACGAGCGTTTTCATTTTTCATCTTTTATCGTTTTCTACTTATGTACAGTGTATTTTCTCGAAACCTTACGAGTTTACGAGCGTTTTACAATCCGCGGCGTCGCGAATCACGGTCAGCTGCGTCGACTGACAATTGAAGAAACAATGATTAGTCGGGTCAATCCGGTTTTGCGTTACAATGCTCCGATGATCGCCGTCTCGCGATGATCGTGCGCGTCCCCTGTCCCATCGCGATTTCCGACCTTTCTCGCTACCATTTCTCTCTCGCTACGGTTGCGGGGATGTGAACGAAGCTTAAGCCGAAGTTTCCTCGAGCTTTGTCTGCCGATCGACTCTTCGAGCATCTCACTCTTCATTATTGCCTTCTCGTTTCGTCGATCAACTCTTGATCGATTTTGTGCCACGAATGAAAATCAACTAGTCGGAAAATTTGAAAATTTAAACGGTGCATTTAAACTATGCGCACCTATTAATTTTCTCATCGTGAACTTCTTTTTCCGTGAAGTATCGATAAATGTACGAATATATATATTATTATGTATTTATCGGAAAGTGATAAACATATTTCTGGTACACGATCCTAGAAAACGGCAGTAGTAGAGGAGAACTTTCGTTGATACTCGATCGTTTAGTCTTCAGATAATCTTCCGATTTCTACGAAATTTACTCTACAGTTGAGAAACGATTTTTGAAATATTTACAGTCTGACGAATTTAAAGAAAAATCAGCTATTGATTAATTTTTCATTAAACAGGTCCAATCGAATTTACTTTCTAATGGAAACAAAAGGACTGAAGGTATTATTATTTATATTTCATAATCGTACCGTTTTCTTTAGCCGATAATTCTCGTATTCAACCTCGACATGATACCTGTACAAGTACAAACGTCACATTCAGTTTAAATCATGGCAGAATTCTCGTTACAACGTTTGACGTTACAAGATAAGCGCGCATCAAGATGGCCGTGATATATGACCCGCGGGTACCGATCCCACCGAATTAACACGTTCGCCACCACCATTTGTTTCAGCCACAATCTTCTCCGTTGCAATATTCGATTAAACCCAACGAAATTTTGTAATATTAAATATTCGTATTGAAACGTTACTAATACTATTAATTATTAGTAACTCTAACATGAATCATTATTAATTATCAATATTAATAACCAAAATATTAAATACTATTAGTTATTAATACCTGAAATATGAGCTATTATTAATTACCAATATCAATCAATAAAATATTAATCATCATTAATCATCAATATTAACAATCGTAATATTAATTATTTTTAATCATCAACATCAGTAATTGTAGTAACAATTATGAATTATTAATATTACCAATCGCAATATCAATGAATCCAAAAATAATTGACAAGAACTTTGTTTTCCTCGGGAACTTCGAAACAGGAGTTAAACCTATTATTCCGACCCATTAATAATTCCGTATCGTGGCGAACAAAAGGAAAGATAGCGTAGACCAGGATTCCTTTCAACGGATCGGCAGAAAATACGCCAGTATCCTTTCATCGGTGCGCGGATCGCTTTCGATCGCTGTCACAGTCTAATAGCACCGCTCCGTAGCTCGCGCCCAGAGGCCAGTCGGGTCGATCGGAGAAAAAGGCGAGTTTTGCTTGAAACGATGGAACGGTGCGAAAGCTGAACAGGTTTTATGGGTACGAGTACGCTCCCGTGTCTCTGTCTCTGTCTCTCTCTCTCTCCTTCTGTCTGTCGTTCGTTTTGAAAAAATAAATCACTTTGCTATACTTGTTTACTGTCTGTCTCACATACACGCACCGTACACGATTTTCCATTTCCATCCGTTCGTTTCTTTCGTTTTTTCCCTTTTTCTTTTCTTGTCGCTCTTCTTTTCGAGATAAATCTCGGCCACCAAAGTTGGGCAAAATGTAATCCGATTAAATATCACTGACAACGATACGAATATGGATCCGATAACTTTATCTTTCATCATCTTCGATCGTTACCGGTTTACAACTGTGACAGAACTGATTACTGTGACCCTTGGTTGCTAGATTTGATCTTTACGCGAGTGGAAAGTATCACGAAGACTGAGAATTTTTGTAAGTTGAAAATAGAGCAGTGGCATTCTGAAATTCCTACTGTCTAATGATTGTAGATAGTAACTCGCGATCGAATGGAAGTTGCAGTTTAACTTTTTGATGAGGATTTTTGAGATATTCGAAATCTTCAACAAGGGAAGGTGAACTATGCTTCAAAATCATGGTAAAGTAAAAGAGAACTACGTATCGATAATTCAATATTCGAATAATTAAATAATTATAACATACATTATATGTTCCTAACTTTGTATCTCGGATATGAAAGTCTGATATCTCGAAAATGGCGACATTCGTCCTCAAAGGCAAAATCCGTCAGTTTCATTGTTCAGTGAGATTAGATTTTGTCCAACTTGGTCGGTCACATGCGGTAGCTAAATTACGGGCACACCGTCTATGGATCGGTCGGCTCGCGGTCACGCTCGCCAGCCTCGCCTAATATTCACTACCGGAAAACATTCACTGCGGGTCTATCTGGAACTGGTAATTGGCTGGTCGGTTCCTCGTAAGTACGAAGTGCAACGTTCGGTTTTCTACGTATCGCGTTTCGTCGCGCGACTACGATCTAGTCGGGGCTCATTCTTCTTCGTCGACTGAACCGTTCGTTTCGCTGCTACGAACTCGAGAAGCGTCGTCCTTCATCCGTAATTTGACTTCAATGAACATTAGTTTCGAATTCATTGGTTCCGTTAGAAATAAATGATCTTTGAATTCTTGCCACCATTGAATATTGATTTCGATTATAATATGAGCACTCACTGGGCAAATCGATTAACTCTACAAAACAGAAAGTAGAGAAAAGTGATGCAATAATTATATACCGTTTTTCAAAATTTCCCTTTAAATGCAAAATCAAATAATCATTGTAGAATGTATCTTACTGTATTGTTATAGGAACAGCTTCAATCTAACAAACATGTAAAATGCATAAAATTGTATATATTCGAAGTCCTTTTTATTATTATTGCAATGTTTACATGACCAAAAGGATTTTTATTATTTCATGGTATCAAACTCAGTCATAATAAGATTTATTTTAAATATACAAAATCAAGAACCAGAGGAACACTTTAATTATGAAATCTTAAAAAATTCGAAAAGTGGAGTTAATCGATTTGGCCAATGATAGATTCGTATGATCCACAATTAAACGATCGATTGTCCTATGATCAATCGAACTTTCGATAAGAAAATAGATTTCACCGATCACCAGAAAAACGTATTCCTTTCTATTCTACAATCTCTTACTTCTATCCTCCGTAATAAATGATCCCGCCAAATAAACCTAACTAAAATAGATTGTAGTAGTTCATTTTAATATAGCAATTGAATATGTAGTTAATACTACAAATAATCGTAACGAACAAAAATCGGCTGCAAACCGACCAAACAGAAATCACTTATAGTTTCCAAGTCATTTATAGTTTCCAAGAATGCGCTTTTCAGTCGAAACTTGATACGAGTCATCTTCCAACGTTACCGTTTCCTCGTAATAAATACTCGCATTAAATAAACCGAACCGCGAACGACTCTAATAAACAAGAATCAGATTCGAGGCAGACGGAAAGAAATCGAATTACGACGAAACGAACGAGAACAATCGAGCCCGTGGCAGAGGAGCGTCTACACTTACAGAATCGGTGAAGCAAAAAACCGCTGGCAGCGGCGGAGAAACGGTACTGTATACCGGCGCGCGCGGAGACACGAACGCGTGGTCAGACACGCGTGGAGCCCAGCGCTGCGTGGAAAATTTGAGACGGATTTTCCCCGGGCGAGGGAAAAAAGCAAACGTCTCGTCTCGTCGGAGAAAGGTGGCGACCAATCGTAATTCGCGCATAGAAATCGGGGCCCCGTTATCGGCTTCCATTTTTTTTTTGCTTCCTTTTTTTCCTCTCCCCTGTGTCTGTCTTATTGGAACGCTCGCTGGCTCACTCGCGATGTGTGCACGGACGCGAGACGCTTTCATCTTTCCAGGCGAAATTCGTTATCCGTTGGAACGGTCCCGCGGCTGCCTCCGTTGTCTCGGGAATAGTATTTCGTGGCTATTAACACAGTGTCGCCTGTGGACAAAACCCCAAAACTCGACTATTCACATAACGAAAATTATTGCTAAGTAGTCTCTGCTGTACAAAATGGTTTTCATTTGAAAAATAAAAATTTTGTGCAGACAAATTCCGTTTCTCTATTTATATAACGTTGGGATTGACACGCAGAGTGTCCATTGTCATTGAAGAAACTTCATAATATCCTCATAATGTAAACAAAAATATAATCACCATATGTTTAGCTTTATACTTTACAATTTTTGTTTGAAGCATTTTTATCTGTCATTCATACTTTTAAGATAGTGAGTTTTGTCCTGAAAACGGCGTTTGGCTGCACTGTGAGGATGGTCAAAACGAGCCATTCTGGATTTCTCCTTTTTGTAATTATTAAAAAAATAACAGCTGTATCCGAGAAATTATTGAAGAAATTGATTTACTAATACGCAAACTGAATTCTACATCGATTAAAGACTCAATAGATGCAATCTTGGAGTTTCCATAGAGAAATTTCGAAAAGTCAATTTAATTGCTCCGTAGATTCTGTGTTAAGTTAATAATCCTTTAAAGTGTGGTACTTTTTCAAACAATTTCCAAGGTTCTATAACGAATTGGTATTGTCATCATCAGCATGATATACGAGTATGAAGGGTTAACTCGTGTTTGAACTTGCATTAGCTATTTCAATTTTTAAAACGCGAAAGTTATATAAAAGATATGTCCAAAGTTTCATTTCAATTCATTATGTATAAACCATGTATATTGAAGTTCATTTAGATTGTTTCACTTTTATATTTAATTACGGAATAATAACCGGTGGTGTGTGGTAGCTACTGCCTAAAATTGCCGGTCAACAATGTGTTAACATGTTGATACAGTAGTCACCGATCACTGGAGCTTCCAAATTCCTTGGTAGCAATTACAGTAAGACAACTGTTGTCGAATAAGTGTATGCGATAACATAAGCAGCTAGATAATAATGCAATACAAGCACTGTGATACTAAACCGTTGACAATTATTTCTAATATCATTTGCCTTTGTTACGAAACAATAAGTAGTGTTACACTAAGCGCTCGAAATTCTCGTGATCAAAGTGTTAACCGTTTTACACGTTCTAAAAAGCAAAATGATACTAATTTCTTCAACGATGAATTCTTGATTTTTTCAGATGAACACGTAATTCTTCTTTGTTTTGTTTTAGCTTATCGTTAGAATATATTATAGATGCATTTGCTCTGTTTTTGATTAGTATACACTTTATCGTTTGATTTTATTGCGCGCATAATGAGAGATCTTTTAAAGTAAACTCCGTAGTTAACAGGTTAAGTATCATTTCACGGGAAGATGTTATAAATTTTGGCCACAGAACAGTGCGATTCGGGACAACGGAGGCGGCCGATCATTCGATTCGCATCGCCAGAGAAACAACAGGGGTTTCGTTAATTGGCGCGCGGTGAATCAATCGCCCGTGTTCGCCGTGCTCCCGTGGTATGTTTCTTTTCCATCGGGAATTGGAAAGCGACCGATCGAGAGCGAACGCTTTTAATGATTCCAGTCGCAGACTTCCGTCTGCTCGGCCGGCGGGGAAAAACTCGCGTGTGGAAAAATATCTACTGGCGAATCATCTATATGGCAACTATCCCTTAGTTCGACAGGATTCTTTTTTTTCGGGCCAGCGACCGTGAGAAGCTCGAAACCTTTCAAATTCTGATATCCTCGGGGTAATTGTTTATGTTTGGCAGTTTTTTTTTCTTCGATTCCTTCGTTTCACCTTTACTGCCTCTCTCTGTTTTCTCGTTGTGTACTTTCATGCTGGACCGGTGGCAAAAATGCATTATTTTTGCACTGAATTGTTTCTGGATTTTGAACTCTTGAAACCTAAAGTTTAACGTTACATCAATGCTGCATTTCGCTGGGACAGGCTCGCATTCACCGAGACTTGCCATTGCTATTAAAGATTCAATAGTGTGTTTTTGTAAAATATCATTTAGAATTATACAACGAAATTCTTTGCTAATACATTAATAATTATTAGGCGGCTGATGTATGTCACTGAATTGATATAATCTTTTTTCACTGAAACTACCATTAAAGTTTCCTTTCATGGACGCACAGCTTGCTCACTCGATTTCACGAACAATCGTGGCCAACTAATCGATTCAACGAAACTGTGAACATATATGAATAATTCTTCCAGATCGGTCCAGCCGAAGGCACACAATTATCGAGTACACGAGTCTCACGATCAGTGTTCCTTGCATCGTGCCACGTTTCCACGTTCACTGACCAATCGGAAAATTTCGGATCGACCGTTCCCCTCCCCGAAAGAAAGCCTCGATCAATCGCGACGCTTAAAGTCCAAGGGTTAATTTCTCGTTGAAAGCGGTAAGGCATTGTCGGATATGTCAGCTGAGATCTTTGAATCGCCCCGGTGATTGCGGTACATCGAACGCTTTACAAAAATATCATCTTGCTCTTTTTTTTTGTTGTCGCGCCCCAGTCGATCTGTTTTCACAAGCTTCTTTCGTCGCTACGTTCCCAGTGTCCCCGGGGCTGCGAGTGCAATCGTGGATGCTTCGTTTTATATTATCTCCTCCTCCCTCCTCTATTTCTTCTTCTTCTTCTTCTTCTGTTTCTTTCTTTTTAAAAATTCGCTTCGAAAACAGGAAGAAATACTATTAGCACGAGGTATATACTTTTGTTAGCCGAAAAGCAGCTAGCCGCCATTGGTTTCTTCTTCGCTCGATCCCTGGACCATTTTCTGGTTTCTCTTTTCCGGTTTTCGTCTGTCCTCGGATTCACCGTCGAAGAAAACGAAGCGGTCTTCTCCGTCTCTTGGTTCTTCTTCCGTCGTCTTCCTTTGAACAATCGTTCGTCGATGACTCCTTCCAACTGGTTCCCCCTTTTTCGTTTTCACGCCACTCGTCCGGCCACTACGTTTCTTCCTACGTTTGTTCCGCTGGTTCCCGGTTTTGGCACATTTACCGAAACGCGTACCCTTTCGCTCGAACATGTCCTCGCGATGGCGCACACCAACGACCAGAAAATTCGATCTCCGTCGACTTGCGTCGGGATCAATTTCCGATTAAGTTGCGACAAGAGCGAACGAACTTCGAAATTTGTCTGTTTATTTGGGTTTTCTCGATCGACCGTGGATTCAAACGATAACCTTGTACACAGCGATTTTTTCGAGAAGATATAAATTGTTTGCGGTGTTGAGCTTTGGGTATCACCATCAGATTCGACGTTTGAAGTTGTTTAGTTGTTGAAAGTTGAATGTTTTCTTTTTAATCAGTAATCAGTAAATTTGATTCGTTCGCGTTAGTGAATTTCGGGTCACCGTCGTTCTTATCGCACACTAATGAAAATGGAGAGTCATTTTGAATCTCGATTGATGATCGTTTATTGAGAATCATTTGTCTAGATTGTGAACTGCAAATTGTTAATATTGGTAGAGATATATCACAAATTTAACGTGAGAGGGAACCTTAACAAAATAACACGTTCTTCCGGTGGCATAATGTTCCTGGCTCGATTAAAGCGACTTTGTTATTCTACTGACTTCCGTTTCACATTGTGAACCGAGTCGGATCTAAACGTACAGTAATAATACAGCTCGCGATGGAACGTCCAAAACGTGAATATAATTCTCAAATTTAACTGTCCGATGAGCTCTACGTCAACGCTATTCTTCTTTAACCAAGTGCACCTGAAATTTCGTAAAATTTCTAAACATTCCTAAAATTTCTAGCGTTCGACAATTATAATTTTCACTTTCCAAATTCGCCGCAACAATTAACTGTATATAGGAAACTCTTGGATATTTACAGTAAACGAACAAACGAGTCATAATAAAGTTACGATCTCAATAAAACGTACGGTTCTATATTATCACAGACTAGCCTCGTTTTTATGCGATAAAATTCTTATTAGTGGAAACAAGATTTAACGTTTATCCTTTCAGGGTAATCCGTGAACATTCTAAATTTCACGGTCCGGTTTCCGATGGGTCGGTTCACAATGCGTAAACGTGGGTCTTTTTCTGTTACATCATTATCAGATTCAGCGATGGAGGGATCAACGAAATCGCAGATACAATCAATCGAAGGTGACGTTAACGTGAATTTTTGAATCGCTGGTGTCTCGCATCCGATCGTTTCTTCGTTCTTCCCATCGACTCGCCGTCCGATTCGGCTTATTTCTCTCGTTTTACACATACGCGACAATTCTACTGAAGCTTTGCACGGTTTTCGCTTGTATGGTATCTCATTTTTTTGGTTTTTTCAGTTTTAAAGCGAGACGATCGCGGACGATCGGCCACGATGTCGGTGCGTCGCGCGGGCCCGATCGACTACACCGGGAAATTACATTTAATCAACTGGCAACGGGTAGAAGACGTTAAACAAGTCGCGTTTTCAACCGTAACTATCCACAACGACGACAGCTACTACCGTTTTACTTCGCCAATGATAAACCGCTACTCGTTTAAATACAATTAGCCTGATTAACGATTACGATACGAATGGCTTCTATTAACGTGCCGGAAACGGTGACCTATCTGCCTAAAATAAAATTCCAACGAATCGTTCGACGTACGCGGAACTCTAAATCCAAAGCAAATCATACGATCCTATTACAGGTCCTATTAACATTAAACTTTCGTCGCTTCGGTAAAAACTTACCCTAAGAGTTGAAACATGAAATCCGTGAAACAAAAAACCGTGACAAATTCGAATCACGATGACGAGAACCGCCAGTGTCCTCGAGTCGTTCGACGATCGACAGTTGCGAAATTCAGGTTTCAAATGATTAAACGTATAAGCGGCACGCGATGAAAACAAGTGAACATCGAAGTTTCTAATTATTTACGGAATATTAATATCATTGTAATTAACGGTTTAATAATAGAATTCTAAATTTAGTCTATGTTTTTATTTGCTTTCATAGAAAGATCATTGGTTAGTTGAAGTTTAAACATTAGTCTTATCCCTTCACAGAAAATGAAAAATTTAAAAGAAAAATCCCGATAGAAATTCGATTGTTCACTGTTATTGTTACGATACCGTGTATTTCATACAAAATCCTGTCTGCGAAGTTTCCAAGAATCGTCTGTTTCTCGTATAAAATGGCTAATTCCCATGAACGGCGCAGATATCGAAGAAAATCGTATTTTCGTGGAAAACGTTTTCGAATTTCGCCTATGTCGTTCTCGAACGACAGGATCGTTCTACTTTCAAATAACGACCCGATAAACAATCGCTGCGCGATCCACTTGCGCAAACAAGTTAGTAGACTGCGAATTTTATGCATTTGTAACAGAAACCGACATTTTAAGATTCAATGTCCTCGAAGATCCGATTAATCCGAATAAACTGCTCGTTTTATACCAAACCTTGCAAAATTCTTAATTCTTTAAATTCCATTTTTCTCTTGTTACGAATAAACAAGTATCACTTCTACATCAATCAAAATCTTGATTCAAAATGTATCAATCCTTCCATTACACATTTCTTCCTTCAACTGTTTATATATAATTACCATCATTTCAGTTATCAACCCTTATAATTATGGATTCTATTCTCTTTCGAGCAATAATGAAAATATTTTGCCGACAAAAAGAAATTTCTCTAGGATTGAACAGATATACGATCTTGATTCTATTCTCCGGATCACAACATAAGAATCTATATTTGCATAGAAATCCGTAGTCTACGAATGACTGTCCACATTCAACACCGTGAACAAGGTTTTCGTCTGTCTTTCTCGCGCGGCTTCCGATGAACCTCGAGACGATCCTCTTCCCTTCGTCCATGGCCACGCTTGCGATCGTCCGCGATCCCTCCGCGGCTCGAACACCGACATGAATCAGGCCCGACACTAAGTACGCGGTCTCTATGTTTAGTAACATTTTGAAAATATCGCACACTTATAGAATTTTTTTTCCATTTTTTTTAAATCTCGCTCGGCCGCCGCGCACGCGCGGTCCGACAGCAGGTCGCGGCGCGTGCCCGGCCGCCACCGGTAGGTACAAGTTTGCAATTCCACTACGATAGTCAATAATATAATCATATAATATATACGTTATGTATTAATATACTTTGTTAAGCCTCAACAATTCCCATAATAAGTCTGTGGTTAGTCGCGGGCTCGGCTCGGTCAGGACTTCCGTCGATCTGGCCTGTTGTTTCCTCTCGGAATTGCACTGACATTCTCAGAAAGTTTACGCTCGAATTAACAATTCTTTAATTAATTATTCTCTAACGTCGATTTCTCGCGGAAAGGAACAGAATATCCATTGTTTCGAGGGACGTTGAACGGAATTGGGTTCCCAATAGAATTTCCTCGTTGCTAACGCTGAGTTGCTGCTGGCCTCTCGTCCGCCATATTAGATCACAGTAATACTACTACATACAACTTCTCTAAAACGACAATTCTCAATCTCTTTCAATTGTTTTGTAACAAATGATATCTATAGTATTTAAACACTACATCTAATGCATAATTTATTTCCAACAACTGGATAAAACAGCAACAACCAGATTTCAGAGCCGTGATCCTCAAACGAATAACATACAATATACGCTTCCTCTAATTCTAAAATGAGCGAAAGATTAATAGGCGAGATCGGTGAACGAACAGTCCTAGAAAAGAAAAGATAACAAAGTTTCGATATTCATACGAGAACATTATTCGAAACAAGGATTCACCGAGTCGCCAAAGAGTTTCTAAAATGGCGGAACCGGCTGGTCAACCTAACCTCCAAACTTGATCATCCATCCCTTTATTAGCCGATCAACAAAAATCCTGATCGACGGCATCAGCCGGTGTCTTCGATAACGCATTAGTCAACAGCGAGCGTCCGTGTTCCACGCGTGATCGACGCCATGGAACACGGCCGTACTCGCATGAACCAGATCCGTGTTTAATGTCCATGTTAGTTTGAGTGTCCAGTGGGACGGTCGCGTCAGCGATAGCGGCGACGTATAGCCGGCGTGTCCCACCACGTTACCTGAACATCTAGAATCCTTCTCGAACCGAGGATCTCCCTTACGATTAATAGTATATCATAATTACTATACACGAAACAATCCCTAATATTTTGGCACAGTCAACTTCCGTCCCCGTCGCGTCGTGATCCTCACACGTGAAGCGTCTTTCGCCGACATCATCCTCTACGAACATCTCTTGTCATCCTCATTGTCCCCTTTTATCCACAGCTGGATCGTCTATCGCGCACTTCCTCGTCCCCTCGATTCATCGGCTTCTACTGTTCTCGAAGTGTTAACCCCGAAAAGCGAGCGTCAGTTTGGTTAGCCTGCTAGAAGGCTAGCCTACGAACGAGGACAACCCGACTACAGACAACGATCCTACAGTCGTCGTACCATCGAGACTCGCTAATCGAGCCACCGTATCACCGTCCAATTGTCCTCCGGTTCTCGATTTGTTTCTTCTTCGGTAATTCCCACCACCAGGGCCAGGTTCAATTAGCACCCCGACTCAGAGCTCGACCATCAGATTGTGAGCGTTGCGGAGAAATTGAAGAGCAGGCACGTCTGGTCTTCTTTCTTATCAGCTTCTTCTTCAGCCTGACGTGCTTGACTTGACTGGAGTTTCGCGTCTCTGTTCCGTTTCTTTTTTCGGCTCTCTCGATCTCTTCAGCTTCCTCCGCGAGGTTTGCCGCGGTTCAGCGTCGAACTGGACGCTCGACTCGCGTCAAGGGTCGAACTCTGGACGCGTTGGGCTACGGTGGCTCCGGCTCGGAGGTGGGAGATTCCTGCTACGCCTCCAGGAATATCAGAGCCGTGGGCTTCGGCTCCAGGTTGCTCTTCTTTGCTTCGACCACCAGGAATTCGATCTCGTTGCGGTCGCGCCTTGCGAATGACTCCGCGATCAGTCTCGCCACCTCCTGATGATGGAGACCTGACGAAGAAGGATGTTGAGAGTTTTTGCTCGGTCATTGGGGAACCTGGCTTTCTTTGGGTTTTGAGCTTGGACACGGGATTAAGTAAATGTAATTAGTAAACCGTGGATTTTTCTAGGAATTTAAATTTTTGTCGTGTGCATTCTGCACAATTTTGTGATGAGGAACAAACCACAAATGAGGTGAAGGTATCATTAACTTGTATCACTGTTATGTGATTATATTAAGTCGTGTCAATTCGAATATTCTCTTCGGTAAGTTTTTAAAAAATTATTTTTAAATCAAATATAGTGTTCGTGTCCTCACCGAATTTAAGCGTGAAAATGTCCGCGTCATATAAGATTGAAACGTAACTGAACGTGACGTTGCGGTTTATAGAAACGAGGGTTTATAAAAAATTCAGAGATCAATAATTTCTTTACGGGCGAAACTTGGGAATTACTGATTGGAAAAAGATTAGTTGGTGAACTAGCACGGTTGCGTTTATCGTTCTTCATTCCGACCGATGAAAAACGTAGCTCATTCTCTCCCTTTTTCCAAGCCAGAACTCCCGATGGCACAGTTCCGAAGTAACAACATAAAAATTCCAATATTAGTTCTGAAATTACCTTCGACTTTGTGGCCGTCAACTTCTAGAATCAATTGACCGACTTCCAGCCCGCCAGCCTCGTAAGCTGCTCCATTATCCTGTGAATACAACGAGTTATCAACATTCCCGGCTTATCAACACGGTTGCAATTATAGCGATCAGTCTTATTCGCGATCAATATCAACGGACTATACGAATTATAATGAAACCAGAACTTTCGTAGAATATTAATAGTAGAATTATTAATACATTAATAATTCCGTTATAGTACATGGCATGGATAAAAACTGGTTATCAAAGCGAATGAATTCCAATTTTTTATTGCACTTTTTAACTGTAGTTTCCAAAGCTTTACCGTGATCCTCAAAATGATATTGCAGTTACCAAGACGATTCCGTAGTTTCCAAAGTAACCACGGTATCCGCTGTTGAGAATTGCAATTCCAGAATAACCGAGAAGTCGAATTTATTAGTTATTATTTTCCTTATACAAACTACAAAAGTGCCATTATTGAGATTTCTGCTTGCTTGTAAAGTGTACTGATTTTTCAAATAAAATATTAAGATACGTATAAGTTTTTTAGGTGGTATAAGCGAGTGGAGAGTGATTGTACGTGAAAAGCTGAATCGAAAATATAGAATAAAATTCTGCCACATAAAGCTTTGTTTTCCAGAAAAAGAAATTAAATCATCGATTTATTCGGTACATGCAAATATTGACAATATCTACGAGGAAGGGTGGAGGTGATCCACAGTGGAATACTTCGAACAGAGAGTAAATCAAGTGCAAGTATACTCGATAAATTTTCAAACTTATTTTTCTCGAAAACAAAGCTTCATACGAACAAATTTTATTCTACATTTCCAATTCATTTTCACATAGAATCTGTCTCTGCTCGCTTGTACCAGTTACGGGACAACCTGTATATACACGCGGTACTGAACGCGTTAACACGTTGACTGCCATGAAAGACATCAGCGTCTTACGTGTCACTTATTCCTTTGTAGCAAAGATAAAAAGGAACGATTATTAATTATTTGCTACCACAATTCTTGCTTTACACTGTCACCTAGTTATTTACGATGAGCATTTTTATTCGATGTCAGTTGTCTTTTGAATTATAATTGTTTTCAACTCATTCCGGGCTCAGGTCCCATAGGACCACTGTGGCAGCGGAAGTTTTAACCGGATAATCGAATAAATCGACTCACGTGTATATTGATGATCCTGGGCAACGGATGCTTGGTGTTAGCACCCCCCTCGATGGCAATGCCCAAAATCGATTTGGTCTTCTTCACGGTGATCCTAAGGTTCCCCTGATGATCAGGTACCACGAGGGCGCCGTCCTCCTCCCTTCTCTCCGACATCTCGCTCCTGGTCAACCTTTGAGCGCTGTGGTGTCTCCTCGGCGGGCCGCCGGCACCACCGGCCCCGGCGGACCCGCCACCGGAACCGCCTTCCTCGAGGAGCTGCGCTTCCTGCATGTCGAAGCTCCGCGAGAGCTTGTGCGCGAGTTCCTGGAATGGGCAAAGCTACGTTTCACCGGCGGGAATTGACGGCCTGGTCTCCGGCTCCCGGTCGACCTCGCGGCCTCGTGACAGCCGTCCCCTTGTCAAACGTCCAAATTACTATTTCGCCACGTTCACGACAAAGTTGAACATTCAATTTAATGTTCAGATTTATTTTGAATTAACTGCACCGGTTGGAAGTAAATCACCCGTTGCATTTTGACTGCCAGTCACCACTTGATTTGATATAGGAAAATTATTTTTGATTAAGTCTTGTGTGTTGTATGAATGTGTAAAATGTTGAAATATAATAGCTTTGTTTTTTAGTATTATTATTAACGTTATTCTTAAGAATGTTTCATCGGGAAATGTGTATTTCTGGTGAAACACTTTTGAATGATCTTTCTGTGAAGATGTACTTGGTACATGTAGTTTTCAGGGAATGACAAGATCATTTTTTGTATTCGGAGCATCTGAGATTAGTTTTTGGCAAATGCGTGGTTGCAAGTAGGAACTATAGCTTAGGTGATGTGAAGATATTTTGGCGATTGAAAAGTACGTGATACGTTAAGGGTAATTCCAATTAGTCAAGGAATATGATAATTTTGAAATTATATCAATTTCAAAATTAGTAAAAGCACACGAATTAATAAAAGCACTTTTGTGAAATTTCTACGTTACATTTGAATTCAACTATGGCTATGAAAGTGTATCTCGTGGTTCCTTGAAAATGTACGTGGACAAAATTGATTTTTCCTTTCCAATTTAAGTTTCTGTGGGTTATTTATAAATATTCGCTGACTGAAAAGCGGTTCTTCATCTTTTTGGGTATGAATTTGTTATCTTCGAAGATGTCAAGAAGGTTTTAAGTAATTTTCGAGGCTCGGCGGCTGTCACGCAGCCCGTCAAAGTCACTTCCGGCACGCTCGCGCGCGATGGCAGCACATAAGAGCTAAAAAGGCTGATGCTGACGAGTTTGTGTGCACGCTGTAGTCGAAGGGAGTCCTGGTAGTCTGCAAAGTTGGTTACGAGGTGAGTTTTAAGCCCGTGACAAAGTAGACACTTCGTGTCAATCGATATTAACGAGAAAACACTGCCTGAAGTTGTTAAGATCGCTCCGACGTGTACATTGTAACACCATTTCCTTCAAGCTATTCATTAAAAAATAACCAAATCAATTAAAGTTTCTCTTACATTTGGAAATTTCACATCGAAGACGAAAATTTATTAAGACAAAATCTTTATCGTTTCATATATCTTGTATAATTATTTCATTTTTTACTTAAATAAAAGTAATTTAAATATCTTCTTTCTTTTTCTTTGAAGCGTGAATGCTTCCATTTTGAAGAACTATTTAGTACACGCCAATATGGCCACCATTTAAAGCATTCTAACCTTTTATTCTGAACGTTACAAAGGAAGATATACTACTGACTAAGCATCTCAATATTAATTTAAAACCAATCAAAACATAACTCAAGCATCTTTCATCATAATACTTCATTTTTCGTTACGAAGACCATAATACGCTAAAAACTGTCATGACACGAAAATCATCTTATGCATTTCTCAGTGCAAAATTTTCCTCGACGATAATAAAATTTGCAATTTCTTATTACAGTAATTACGGGTTCACATCGATATCAAAATGAAACGGAAAATGTTCAGCCAACTCGGTTTGTCTACCGGCATCGCTTCTCCACAACGTTGCACATCACCCGGTGCACCTATATATGCAATCGTACATAACATCGTGTTGATAACGTAAGTCATGACAAATACATATCGATATAGGTCACAAGAGTAATATTAAAAAATTAAGTCATGCTTGCTGATAGGCTGGTAGCAAAATTGGGTGTTTGGTGGTGCTCGGACAGAGTGGTGGTGGTGGTGGTGGTAGTGGTGGTGGTGGTTGTGGTAGTGGTAGTAGTGGTGGTGTTTGTCGCGTAATTATCAGAGCTCGATTACCGCGACTCTTTCTCTTTCTCGTCTGGCATTGCGACTGGCATGATCGATTTTGAACAACACACGGCCGACGGGCAACAATAACGACGTAGGCAGATGCCACTCGTCACGTGTTCATGAAAGAAAAAATACTATGAGATGATAGGGGAAAGTGTTGAACGAAGACGGTCCAAACTACTTTTACTTCCAGATTACCATACGAATCATCGTTTTTCTCGAAATAAACCGTTTTTAACCCCTTGTCCTATGATTTATCTCTTGACTATGATCGATACAATTACTTTATCGTTAGTAATTTATTAGGAAAAGGACAAATATTGATGCTTATTGTACGTCTACGTTTAATCTAAAGGTTAACGATTGATAATAGAAATGTAATATTTAATTTATATTTTGAAAAATTAATAACACTTAGATTTCTCAAATTCAGTTGAAAATTTTCCGCACGAGTTTGACACGGTAATGCAGGTCAAGGGGTTAAGCTTTTGCTTGCACCTATTGAAATTCGTATCAGTAGACTTCGGATCCTGATGAACTTATCATGTGATTATGTTTGTGAGAAATGTTCAAACGCAAGCTGCAACCGATTTCAATACATTTTTATGTTATTTTTCAAACAGTAATTAATAATTCTAAATTGATTAATAATACATGGTAATTAGAATGATTATCCGCTGTCTACTGAATAGAGTTCTCTATCAAAATTTCTCCACGCGCAGATCGAACGTCAAATTTCTTTTTTAGGCGATTAGGATCTGCCGAACTTTTCACTGCAATTTGAACCACGCCTCTGTTTATATACAAAGTTTCTAATTATATTCACTTTTCCTTTTGCCTGTATTCGTTTCGATTTAATTTTCGTGTGCGATTGAGTCGTTCAGTAATAACAATATCCAAGGAAAGATTTATTAGAATCGTCGGGTCTTCGTTGAACATCTCCGCTAAGGTTTGATCAATAGATTGCAGATTTTTACGTAAGTTTACATTTCTCAAGATTCTGAATTTTATCGTTTTAAAAATTAGAATAATAGAAATATTTTGATTGTTCACTACGAAATTTCTCGTGAAACAATAGTCGAAAATACTAATAATTTTGTCAATAAGATTTCCATGCAATGTTTATTAATGAAAACAAAGATATTGTTTCTTTCAACGCATAAAAATCGACAGTCTTATTGATTAGATTTCTTGAGAACCTTCAAAGTCGAATATCCGAATTAATGCGCTTCCAGCGGCTCGCCCCGTCGAATTTGGTTTGATTAACCCTGAGACGGATTTGTATAAACTAAATCTAACTTCTCACGCGTGTATGTCTAACTTATATTCTCGATTAATTATATGGAACTAAATAACAAGATCGAAGTATTTCATGGAACAACGGCTGAACAAATTTCTAAAAAGAATTAACCCTTAATTGTGGAGAGGGTCAGAAATGTGAAAAATTTTGTTCTCATTTCAATTTACTGTACTTTATACAGTTAAATATATATTCTCTGTTTTATTACATCAAAAGTCCTACAACCGTTTTCTTTACGTCTAGATAATATTCTGTTGATTCACGGGTACAGTGATTTTGAGACGTTCTATACAATTTTCTATTGTTCTCGTGGCAATTTGGCAAAACTGCACTCTATTTTTGGACATTTTCACGTCAATATTTGCGGTGAAAATGAAGAATTCACGCAAAGATATTGTAATAACAACATTTGGATTTTACACATTTTGATTGCCAGCATGAGGGTTAAACAATTATCGACCGTTAACACTAGAACTACCTGTCAAAATGATGGGTCTCAGTTTTCTAAATTCTCAATGATCCATATCTCGAAACTGTTAAATATCCGAAATGGTTTTACAAAAAAGTAGCTTCATTTGAATAATATAACAAATATACGAAGAAATCGAAAGAAATCTATCGTTACAATTTTGATAACGACTACATATTAACATTAACTGGGAACCAGTCAAATGACCGGATTTCAATTTCTCCGTTTCCTTTCGTCCATTTAATGTTACATCAATTTCTATATTGTCCGATTAATTTCAATTTCTACCTTTCCTTTTGTTTCTGTTTTCACTAAAACGAAATGATCATCTAACTTGTTTATCTTCATTTTGTAACCAATTATTTCATTAGTTACATTGGGAAAAGTGTCGGTATTATCAGTGTTAATTATATTAACACATTGAATGTCACGAGGCTCACCGGTGGCCCCCGATCAAGTCGAGTTCTTATAATTCAGTCAATTAAACGATGATTATTTACAAACGCGTTTATATTATAAATAATGCTACCTAATACGGTGACGTTCGGCAAGATAAACGTACAATAATAATAAAACGATTTAATATAAAATAATTCGATATTCTATTCTCTTCATTTTCTGTGTTTTCCTACGTGGAATCGCGCGGCATTCAACGTGTTGAACGCTCGGTGGTTCTAGTGTTAAGGGTTAACGGGTAACGATTCGAATAGTCCGAAACGTCGGTGATTATGGAATCGTTGGAAACATCCGCCGTCGGGGGGTTAATCGGAACCATAGGTCATGGTCGACGGACATGGAAATCGAGTTGTTCGCGAGTCGCTGGCTCGACGCACGGAGAAACGTGGATCGCGGATGGTGAAAGTGTTTCGCGGACCAGCGAGACACGCAAATACGCGCCGCATCGCGCCGAGGATTTCTCTTCCTATCGGACTTGCCGAAAATAAGATTGCAGCGATTCCCGAAAATAAAAAGTGAAAATGAAACGCACGCCGAAGAATTTATACAGAGATGGAAATTAATTTCCGCGTAACTCTTGTCTCTTTTTAATTGATGGTATAAACGTGAATTTTTGTAAACAGTTGTTAACTCTCACGACACCTGGGAGAATATAAAAAATAAAGTTTCGCGCAAGGAAATAAATATGTAGATTGTAAAGTTATTGAATAATTACATCTGCATTGAATATGTAATGAATGAATGTTTGAAGAACACTTTGTTTTGAGAACTTTTCGACTTTTATCTTGTACATTAAACTGATGTCGATTTTGTTACCCTCCTCTGATCGATTGTTAATTAAACGGACAATAGAGATTAATCAGAAAGATAATAGGTAATTAGTTTTAATAACATTGTCCACTCGAGTATTAACAGCAATGAATAATAAATTGATATTTGAATAGACAGTATCTACATATTCAACACCCATCGATCAACGCAAAAAAGAATAACAAGAAAAGATATTTCTGCTTAAGCGCACACAGAATTTTGATAAACTATTTCCAACGTATCCGAGCAACGTCCTCAGCGGCGGGCAAATAATTTACGCGCGGATAATCTCGTCGTTTCTTCCCGTGAGAAGAACCGTTTCGTTTGTCATTGAATAAATGATTATCCGTTGCATGCATTCGTCGCGAATCGTTCGAGCAGGATTTCCCATCTCTGTGAAACGAAAAAGGGGTAACAAGAAGAGAAGAAAGGGAAAAAAACGGGGGGTTCGCTTAAATTCCCAAGCTCCGTGAAATGAGAAATAAAAGAGAGCCGGCGTCGCGTCGGGGCGAGAACGAAAGAGGTTTAATTCGAACGCGATGATCGATCGGATCGCGCAAACAGACACGACGGAGCCGCGGCGAATAATTGCGCGTCGCTCGATCACGGTGCCCATCAGGAAATCGTTCCTTCATAGATTTTCCGGGTTTGTCCCACCGGGTTTCCTTGTTCGGTGAAAACTCTCTGTCCGGACTTTCTCCGCTGATTCACTGATTCATCGATAGCGGGCTGGCTCCATTGCGGACTTTCGTGCCGCGAACTGTTTTCCATCGTGAAAATTCTATTTGGCGACGGACTACGGTGAACGTACGATCGTGGCCACACGAACGTCGAGATAGCATCCGTTAATCTACGTTGACCTATGATTTTTTTCCGAATTAGGACCAATTTGAGTATGTTGTTGTTGATCGTTTATTGAAAGAATGATCTGGCTACTTGGTCACTAATAATTTATTGAGAAACTGATTCAACTACTTTCTTGTTGATTATTTATTGAATGATTCGACTGCTTTGTCGTTGGTAATTAATTGAAAGAATGATTCAATTGTTTCGTTGTTAATAATTTATGGAAAGAATGACCCAACTACTTTATCGCCAATAATTTATTAAAGAAAGAGAAACATTCTAGACATACTACCCATATTATATCTATGCTTGTTCCAAAGTATATTAATTGATAACAGAAGAATAACATTTCATTTGTATTCAAAAGAATTTAGTACTATTTATATTTGTTAAATTCTGCTTGAAATCACGAGTCTCGCTCGATATTATAAGGCAAATGGTTAATAATGTTAGTCAAATACGTGGCTACCTTCCGTTACACCAGAATGAAAACACAAGGTTCTATGACAGATGTTGTGTTATCTTAATAAACGTTAAGTAGCAGGAATTGGTACAATTATTCGTTACTCCACAAAGCTTAACACAATTATAACACAAAGATTGCAACAAGTAGAAAAGTAGATCGTATAAGATATATATTATATTTATATACAATTGTTTCTTATCGCAAAAGACACGGCGCGTAAAATTTAACGATACTTTCGAGATGTTCGTGTGACCGAAGAAAATGGCATCCGTGATCAACTATGTCTATCGACTAAGTCCATTACGAGGTCGGCCTAATTTCTTTCTAATCGTTCGAGGCGAGTCTAAATCAACTTTAATTTCGCTTACGTGACACGCGTCGCGGATCCTGTTCCCTTTCCGTTTCTACATCTTTTTCATTCTCGATTGTGAGTAAAGTGATCGTGCATGCCAAGACATCTATGTAAATATACTTTGATATACGCATACGCTTGCACACGTGTATACAATTACAGGAACTGCTCTTAGCCTTCGTTGCATATAATTATAGGCACGTGTGTAACGTGGTGCGTTAGTAGTCGTGCTTAAATATAAGGACAAATCGAAAGTAGCATGTGCAAGACATCTAAGAAAAAACACGTACACACCTAACGCTATTTCGACTAAGTTCGCTAGCTCTAAGAGCAAAAAGGAAACTGATCTTGGTGACAGATTGAAAAATAGACAGAGATAAGGTGAGTGATCGGAG